TTTTTTTTTTTTTTTTTTACTTTACATGCATTCAGGCGTACTCTGCCCTGGTTTGTAAATAATTCAAAAGTCTGAGTTTTCAGATGAATTTCCTGCACAGAAGTGCTTTTGGGAAACAGTTTAAGCTTTTTGCAAAGTATATTTAATGTAGATCATGTACCTGATCAGGTGCAATAAAATAATCACATCCCATTACATTTTGTCAGTGGATCCATACATGAAACCGAACATAAGTGGGACATGGAAAGATAGATTAACACAAAGAACTGCAGGATTGCAAAGAAAGAAATACAGGATTACTTGGTTATCTTTTTTTATAGGGTTAGTTAAATTTGGAATTGAACTATCTATTTTGAGTGCATTAACATTCTTTGATTTATGTTATTCTATTATAGCGCTGACTGTATGTTTTTTGTCATCCTTCTGGCGGAAGTTATTAAGTTAAGTTATTAAAACCTCTAGCAGACTTTTTTTCAGATTGTCTTATATGTATATCCACATCCCTATCAACTCTGAGCAGCTTCCCCAACTTTAATGAAAAAAAAAAAAAATCCACCATTATGTTTTACCATTGGGGTGGTGCATTCAGAGTGATGTGCGCTGTATTATGCTACAGATCAATCTGAACAAAAAAGGAATTTATGTAGTGTTATTCCAACCAAGTACTTTCATGTGCCTAATGTATCCATTATGACTTTCTATTTAATATGGCTTTCTTCTAGCTACTTTTAATGAAGCTCAATATCTATAGACTCTCCAGAGTTATAATTGACCTCTCAACTCCTATTCTGATCAGTGATCTCTGCCTGTCAGTTTCTGTGTCTTGAACCGTTTTGTATGCTTACTGGTGTAATACTCTAGCCTTTTTCAGATGTTAGAGAGCTCATACGTAGTTTTGGATAACGTTTTATAGCTTAACAATTTATAAAGTATCCCTACAACTGTATCTCTGAGCTATCTGCTGTATTTGTTGGTCTTTATGATTCTGCTCTGTTCTAGGATGACAGTTGAAGGTAATGCGCTGCTCTCTACTTATGGATATTAGCATTTTTCAGTTCAGTTTATTTATATAGCACCAATTCACAACACATGTCATCGCAAGGCACTTTACAGTTCACCAGATCATCCAGTCAAATTGATTCAAAGTTTTCTATCTAAGAAAAACCAGTTGATTGCATCGACTCGTTGACTCTGATGCAATCCTTCACACTAAACATGCTTGTAGCGACAATGGAGAGGAAAAAAACTCCTTTTAACAGGAAGAAACCTCCAGAAGAACCAGGCTCAGTGTGAGCGGCCATGAGGCCAACTGGGGTTCATGAGACAGAAGCAGAGATACAAAAAGCAGCTGTAAAAGGCGGCCCCATCCAGGAAACACTTACAGCCAGGCAGACGAGCTCTAAGCCAACTCCCATGTCAGAGGATGTAAAGAGCACATCAAGCCAGTCACATACAGAGAAACAGGACTACACTGGAAAAACAGGCTGATCGCCAACATCTATAAATAAAAGTGTTGATGGCAGCAGCGCAGCTGATATTTCTCTCCAGGGTGGTGTCACAGCCAAACAGGAACAGATGAGGTGAAGCTACTATGAGAAAAGGCAGAGAGAGCGTAACATTAGAGAATGAACTAACAGATTCAGCAGAGTGGGAGAATAGAGATAGAATGAAGCAAAATGATAGAATAGGGGACCCTATGACCTCCAGAAGTCTAAGCCTATAGCAGCATAACTATAGAGATAGCTCAAGCTCATAGCTTGTTTTTATAAACAACCTTTCCCTTAACCTGAAAAAAATTAATGATTTCTGACTTTAATCTCAGAATTCTGACTTTCTTCTCAGAACTCTAACTTTAATCTCCCAATTTTGGATGTTAATGTAGATCGGCACTATGAAGGAAGAGATGTGGGAGCATTCAGCTTCACTGACAACGATGTGACTTGTTTGGGACGGCCAGTAACACAATGTTGGAAAATGACGCAATTAGGCAACTATTTATGTGCCAGACGGGTCCCCAGTGATACTATTTAATTAATGGAAGAGCAGAAGGTGATTAAAACAAGAGCGCTAATCTCTAAAGCGGACATGGCTACGGCTTTATGCTAACATGTTTGTTAGTAAAAAAGTTAGAGAAAAAAGTCAGAATTCTGACATTAAAGTCAGAATTATGAGAAAAAACTCAGAATTCTGACATTAAAGTCAGAATTATCAAAACAAAAGTCACAATTCTGAGATTAAAGTTAGATTTATGACTTTTTGGTCATATTATACTGAAATAAAATTTGAAAGTCATTAAACTTTTTTTTTTTTATTTAGTGGGCCTAATCCTCTTCCGTAAAATGAAAATTTGTTTATGACGTAAAATCCTCCAAAACACAATCAATGTGAAGAAGTTCCAAAGAAATATAAAAAAGAACGTTTTGACCATTTCTTCTTATGTAATCTTTTGCTACTGTTGGCCAAGTTTTATATCCACAAATGTAAAATTATTATGACCAAACCCTCATGTATCTCTTTTTTAAAGGAAGCAACAACTTATTTTTCTACATTCTAAACTTCCAATAATAAAAAGGCTGTTAAAATTTTATCTTTATGCTCTAAATTTAAAGTATTTATGTAATCCCTTTACATGCATCTATTTACTATTGCTATTTTTACTTTTATTCAGTAACGTTTTATTTATTTGTGTATTACATTTTGCTCAAACCCCTGGCGATTGTTCGCTGGAATTTGTACTTCTTTCTGTATTATAAAGCATTTTCTAATAAAGTTTATAATAATAAAAAAAAAGTGAAGAAGTTCAAAGCTGTGGAGACTTCTCAAAGGCTCTTTATTCAGCTTTCTATCTCCTGCTCAGTGATTGGTGGAGCCAGTGAGCAAGATGAGAGCAGCGATTGGCTCAGGGCTCTGCCAATCACACTGCAAACACTCTCCAACTTCCTCTGTCCTCCTTTCCTGGTGCAGCCTGAGAGAAGGGAGGGGAACTGTTTTCTTTTTTCTGTGAGAGAAGCCGGGCACTTCCTCACAATGCTCCTCACCACCTGTCCTTGACTTAGTGAACGCGGACAGACTCAGACTCTACCAGCAGTCTTTCTTCGGAGGTTTTCTTCCTACCTGTGGTGCTTCAGCAAAGAAGTGGAAGAGGGAAGCGCTGCATGCCGGTGCAGATTCTCAGTCATCCTGGGGAAACGTTCATCCTCTGGCAGTGAGAGCTCTGATGGGAGGCAGCTCTGACTCTGGCTGGGACTGGGGATGCTGAACGGAGGGAGGGAGGGCCTGTTTGAGCTGGGACAGCAGCTCCAGCAGCAGGGGGAGTACCAGGCCGCCCTCCACTGCTTCCTCAGCTGCCTGCTGGGACTGACCCACGTCCAGAGCTTCACCTCTCTGCCCAACTGCCTGCACCAGGTGAGCTGGATGGCAGCCAGACACAGCTTTCTCCATTCACAATCAGATGCTTTCTCAGCCCTCCACAAACATTTGCATCACTTCATCTGGGCAACAACAGGGGCGGAGCTAGATGGGGGGCCAGGGGTGGCCACGGCCACCCTTAGTCAATCAGTGGGCACCCCTACCATTTATTTCCGTCTAATAGAAATGGGGGCAACAATAATAATCTCAAGTGGAATATTCGAAACATTTAAATTTTTTATATATTAACAATTACTTGACAGCAAAAAAAAACTGCGTTTAATTATGCACGTCAATATAGTAAAATTCAAAATGATAAGTACAGAAATAGATATTGTGTTTTATGGGGTAAAGAGAAAATGATCTCTCAAGTCATCTAGGAGTCTTCAGTGAAATCATAGATAAATAACTATTTTAATAAAAACTTATTAAATAATTAATTTATGTAGATATTAGTACTTGTAAATATCAGTTTTATGCAGAATGATTATTGATAGAAGAAGGTAAGTAATGACAATAGAAAAGATGTTCACCCAAACCTCAAACCTGAAAGACTTTTATCCACTATACCTTTTATCTAGAAAGCAGGGATGTTTGAAAATATTTGTCTATTTGTTAGCAAAGGCTGCGGGTATAGTATAGTTTGTCTTTACTTAGAAAATATAGATGTTTTGCTTGTTAATTTTCCTGTTGGAGCAGTGTAGATTGACCCTGACTATCTACTTTCGGCCACCCCTCCGTGTACATTGGTTATTGCCTGGCCCCCCTTATAAAAAAATTTCTGGCTCCACCTCTGATCAAAGAATCTCACAGCACAAAGTCTGTACAGAGAGGATCACCTCTGTAAACCAATAGGTGTCCAGTTACACCTTATATCCCACTAAATGTTAGCCTCTTTAGTGCTATAAGATGCCTTTATACTCTAAAACTGATGACATATCAGGGTGTTTTTATAAAGTTCCTTCATTGTAGCAGTGCTGTAGTGTTTTTTTTCCATGTGGTAGTACATGAAGGAATGTGCCAGATGTCAAAACACTGGTTTCACTCTAGAACTTTACAACAAGCAGGATGATGTTTCCCAGACCTGCCAGGCGGCTGGGAGAGCACTATTACATGCTGGAACAACTCAAACAATGAATTCACACCTCCAGACGGGAATGCTAAGTTATATCAGACATGGAAATTCATTATATATGTATAAAAGAAACAGTGAAAAAAGTGAATCAGATTCATAAATAAAAAACAACCTAATAAACAGCCTTTAAATGCATGTTTTTGTCACAAATCAGTATATTTTTGTTTTGGATTGAAGAAAAAAAAAAAACCCCAGAATAATTAACTTACAAACAAAAAAAATAAAACAATAAAAAACTGCTAAAAATAAGAGTGAAGGACAAATTCTCCTATTTATTTATCAATTTTGCTAAATCTATTCCAGACTCATATAAGATTAGGAATTCCCTGTGTTCTGCTTTGTCAGGATCGGGTATGTATCTTTTGTTGTAAAGACACCATCGCAGAAATTAGCTAACTGTCTTGGAATTAAATGTTAGGGATTCAGTCAGGTTATCATTTGCCAAAATATTCTGAAAAATAACTCATACCATTAGGTACATTTTGAAACATCCAGCAAGTGGAGGAAAGAAAGGCAATCACACAGTACTTTGTGAAATGAACTGATGCTTTGTTTGGCTTTGCTGTAATATCTACCCAGAGTTTAATGGCATGGCATAGCCTTATGACATAAAAAAAAAATATATATATAGAACTACTAAATTAAAGCATCTCTAGCTTCATTCATTTGGGTTATTTAGCTCAGTTCAAATATATTTATTATATTTATATTTTGCTTATTCACAACACATGTAGTTACAGTACACTCAAAGCATTTTTGTGAAGTGTTTGGGACTTATCACATAATTTAGTAGCTGTTTACATACTTTTCTATATTGATATCTCCTCAAACAAATTATTTCAGACATTCTTCCAATTTTGAGTTAGTTTAAAATGACCTACAGTAATGAAAACAGTTTTATTATTTTTATTTACTATAACCCCTGTTGGCCTCAGCAGATGGCAGCTCACACTGAGTCTGATTCTGCTGACGGTTTCTTCCTGTTAAAAGGGAGTTTTTCCTCTCCACTGTCGCTACAAGCATGCTTAATGTGAGAGATTGTCTTTGAGTCATTGAGTTGATGCAATCAACTGGTTTTCCTTAGAAAACTAATAAATTAGACTCTATGATCTGGTTGAATTGTTAAGTGGCTTGATATGACATGTGTTGTGAATTGGCGCTTTATAAATAAACTGCATTGAAAGGATTTAAATTTGATTTATCAACATCCACAATCCAACCACTTGGTCTTCCAAATAGTTAACTATAATTACATTAAAACACTTTTACTACAAAACACACTTCTGTCATCTGCAAACAGTGTAAATGGATGTACTGTTGAAAACCTGAGGTACTGAAAACCAAGTTTGTTTTGTGTTCTCTACTTCACAGATTGCTGAACTCTTCATCACTGAAAAAAACTGTATCCTTTTCTAACAACACCCCAAAACTCTGGTTTCGCTTCTCATGTTGCCTTTAAAAAAAAAAACTAAGGTTGTCCCAGTCAGCTAACTAAAAAGCTACATTATTAGCTTTGTGAGGCAAACATGCAGGAGGCGTGTCAGATGCCAGGACAATGGACGATGTCTACCATTTGTAAAAGGTGATAAAAACAGGAGGGAATGAGCGGATGTCTCTGGGCAAGTTCATAATAACCCATTTGTCCTAGAATGCCACATGCTTTGTGTGTCACTCAGAAGGTGTGTTTGTCTCTTAAGAGGATTTGTGGGCTCTTATCTCAGTACAACAGAATGGGAGCACGCTAATTAACCTGTATCTGAGGCAGGAAGCTCATGCATGGATTTCCACTTCACTACCACTATAAACTACAGCAGTACAGGACATGGAGATAATAGAAAGGTGTTGTTTTTCAGGATATATTACGCCTGGAGCTCCCCTTCTTGTTATTGAGATACTCCAGTGCTTAACGTAGCCAGCTCAGGTTATCTACCTCAGCATGGCTTTACCTATCTCTGTCTACAATTAGACCATTTATAGAACCTTGGACTATCGGTGGCGACTGTCCAGCAAAATCCCAACATGCTTAATATACCATGAGGGTTAATTCTTTTAAGTTATGTCATTAATAGTAATAATTATAACCCGATTTAAACCTGTCCACAAATTTATCATTGATTTTTCAATTGTGCTCCTCGGTCTTTATGATATGCTCAACGTAGCTCTAAATAGCTGTTGTATCACACATAGTTAAAGGATATTTTCAAATGAAATTGTCTTTAATATCTTTGGCCGTGCTTGATTTTTAAAGAAAATGGAGCTCTTATTTTTTTAAGTAATTGAACACCATATCACGTCATTTAACTTTATAATCAAAGACTACTTAAAGTTTTTGGCTGCACTGAGGGGAAAAAAAGGGAAAGACATTTAGTCGACATGGATACTATTGCAAAGCACTGCAGGGTTTTTCACTTCTATGGCAGGAGCTGAGGCTGCAGAGCTGTGCTCCTTCAGCAGCTGCACTCTGAAGAGGAAGGTGAAAGGTCAGCGTAAATAGGAACCAGGATGTGGGAACTCTAGATTTTCACACAAATGTTTTATGAGAACAAAAATGCCAGCTTCTCCTCTCATGTTTTTCTACTCAGGCTATAAATACATCCCCAGAAAAAAAGTGATTTAAATATTCAAATCAAACTACTTTCATGCTGATGTAAACAATTTAGACCACACAAAAAAACTGGATCACAAACTGTGGCCCAATGTTTTATATTAGAAAAGAAAACGAAAATTGTCTTTTCATTGTTTATAGGGATATCCTGATCTGATATTGATGTTAGATATTACTCTGATAGCTAATATCAGACTATATAGGCTTGCATCTGGAATCTACAATATTGTTGATTGAGACACTGCTTCTGTTTAAGGTTAATGTAACCCATAAATTAATGAAATATGGGTCAATTGTTCTCATAGCTCCCAAAGGATGATGGTCTAACATTAAATTGAAAACTGAATTGATCTTAAAGGTATTATGGAGGATTTTGGGAATTTTAAAAGAAACCACTTTAAAAGAAAATGTGCATGCGCAACCCTATACCCGCTCCCGAGAGGGAACACCTCTCGCGCGTGAGAGATTTCTGCTCTCGCATGCTCTGTTTAAAAATTGCTGTTCTCCTAGCTCAAACTTGCTGTGTCCCAACGTCCGCCCTAACCGCAGAATCCCTCGATGTATAGAGCGGAGACTATATAGTGGACTTTATAGCAAACTCAGTTAACTGGCCATTTGGACAGATAATTGCTACTTTTTACTCCCCGTAGGTCATGTAACTCAATGTATTAGTCGCCACTGTCAGGTAGTAGCAGCCTATGGCGACAACGGGCCCTGGTGACAGCAAATCCCATAATGCTTTGCGAGGAAGGCTCTCCGCGCAAAGCATTCCAGAATATATCTGCATCTTCTTAGACCTTTGTAGACACTTTTTCTGTCACGACCCTCGGCCATTTTCAAAGAACCTCAGTGGGGGAAAAAGAGAAACTGTCTCTGTTGTTGCAAAACTTTTGTTTTTTTGAATAGCGAACTGTACACCAACCTACATTTAAGTTAATCCCAGAGGGAAATTAAAAGTGTCTCCTCTGGCTTTCTTCAAGTTGTTATAGATGTAGATCGATGCAGGCATGATGGATTTCCAGTAGCGGTCTCTCTTGCACTGGTTCTGGAGAGGCCTTTGACTGAAGATACATTGTTTTTTAACAATCAATCAAAGATGATGCTCAGTGTTGTCCATAATGAAGAACAATTTTTTGTGAAATCATCCTTTGAGTTTCTATAGGAGTTCCTCGAAACATGCTGGCCTTTTTATTAGCTTTTTGAGCTTTGTTTCAAGTGTTACCCCGACAGATAATGGTGATGATGATGATGGCAGATGATATCAAACTCTCCACAGCAGACTTAAAGAAGATATGCTGGATCTTGCTGCAAACTGAAGGACCTGAGCTTCATTAGGAAGTACAATCTGCTCCTTCCCTTCTTGTAGACGGCTTCATTTGCTTCTCAAGTTGAGTTTGTTGTCCAGATGAACACCGAGGTATTGGTGCTTCTCCACCACCTTTACTTCTTCTCATATGATGTTAATAAGATTTGTATTGTTCCTGTGTCTTCTGAAATCTACAATCATCTTGCATGTTTTTTTTTTCATATTCAGGAACAGATGATTGTTTCAACATCATGTATGTTTGCAGACTCCCTATCATAGTTGCTTTTGCATACAGCCAATATGTTAATTAACAGAAACGTCTGGAGCGAAGGGAGCCTGGAATTATACTATTCACAGTGACAATAATGCTTCATGTGTACAGTGGGTGAAAGATGCAAATTTTTGCACTTTCATATGTTTTTGTTTTCTGTAATGTAGAACTTCAGCTGTTTGCTACATTTGTTTAATTTATTTTTGTTGTTGTTTTTTGAATCTGGATTTGACTAGCATCATCAATGTGCATTAATGTATAATGACGTCTGGAAGATTAAAGGCTGCTTGACAATAGAGCAGCTGTCAGCTTTCCTACCAACAATGAGCTTCTTACTGTTGACCTCACTAAAGGTGAAGAGCTGGAGCTAGGTACAGGAACAGTGGATATAATTAGACGATTTTGGATGCAGCCGTTACCTACTAGAGGTGGAAATGCCAATGTTTTAACTAATCTTTGTACATGTCTTCTAACTCTCTGGACCCGGATGTTCCACCCCTTCCTAGAGGTAGAATTTACAGATTTAGCTTTACCTGATTAAGGAGTTCTAATGCCAATGAAAACTTTTGTAACAAGCTTAAACCTATGCCTGAGACATTCATTGACAGCGATCATCATATTTTAGCTGCAGTTCTTTGAGCAAAAGTCAACCTTTTGACTCATGTAGTGTTCAGCATTGTTTCATTTTACACAAATTCAGTTACAATTCTGATTTCTTCTTTTGAATTTGGTTTCTCATTCTTTTAAGAAAAGAATGATATAAGTTGACATGTTAGAAATGAGCTAATCCAACTGGAGTTATGTCTGGATGAAACTGTCTGAACTCAATAAGATTTAAAACCTTGAATATCTAACTTTGTGTGAATGTTGATATAAGTGATCAAATAATTGTTTTCAACTGGTACATAAATATCAAACCTATGAACTCTGATATAAATGAAAAAATGAAAAAAAAAAGTTATTTTTACAGTTACATTTTCACATGGAACTTTATTGTTCAAACCTTATTAAAATACATTTATAGATCCAGTTTTTGATTCTGCAGGTAGTTCTTTGTATGTGATGATTTTAATAATCTGATTCTGACTGTGATGCTGCATTCTGCTGAGTTTCCGAGCTCAGCAGGAAGGCATCCTGACAGAATTTCTATCTTCAGCATCATTTGCTGCAACTCTGTTCCACTCAACTAGATGTGGAAGTAGTTATGTTTTACTTTTTTTGGACAGAGCAATGATTAGATTTTATTCTCCAGTGTTCAGTTAATGGGTTTTACCATTTGAAACTAATCCCAAAATAGCTAAAATAAGCAAAGGATGAAGTTACATTTAAAATGATGTAAAAGTTTGGCAGATCTATGTTAAAGTTCTTCTTATTCTTAATTTATTCTTTTGTAATTTTATGCTTTTGTAAATATCCACATAGTTTGTTAGGATTTGACACCTTTAGTTAAGTGTCTTGCAGCTGTATAGGGTATACTCTTTGATAAGTCACGCTATTGAAAACTTACCAAAATAGAAGGGTATGCACTTTGCAATGTTAACGTCTAATAGGTTTCATGAAGGGTCATGTTGGTACACGCTTTGGTCTCCGCACGTGCGATCTGATTTGCCTTTGAGGTTTCCAGTGCATGCTGTTGTTTTATTTTTTTTCCTGGGGTCCAGTTACCATTTCAAAGCAGAGGTTGTTCCTAGGACAGGATTGAGCGAGGTTCCTGTTGTTAAATTGTTCAGAGAAGTTAAAAATAGCTGGCAGAAGAAGGGCTCTGACCTTTGATGATGTTTCATCCCTTTTAGTCTCTTGCACAGATGGTCCACCTGCCATAGTCCCAGCTGCCAGGCGTCTCCTGGTGCTATTTTTTTTTTTTAAACATACCAAAATAAAGCATCCTTGTAAAAGTGTTTCATGGGAGACTTTTATTTTTAAAGGTTTTGCACTCGTGTATCTGCTGTGTATTTTCCCTCATGCGTTGGACTTTTTATCTTTATGCAGTATAATACAGCTTTCATACAGTCACCTTTGCAATTATGTCAATAAACCATCAGTGTTATAGCAATGGATAAGCACTATACCGTAGTAATGAAGTGCAGTTTGACTTATTCTTCATTGAAAACCACCTAGGTAAAATTGAATAGGGAGCATCTCTGAAAACAAATGTTTACCATCGATTGGACCAAGAAGCCATGATCTAAACCCCTGTATTACCGCCCTGGTTGTATGTTTAGCATTGTTGCCCTGATGCAGCTTGACTTGCATTATCTAACAGCTTTTGTGTCAGGATTTAACTCCTGTCTTCCCATCGACTCTGTGCAAATGTCTTTGCTGAGGAAGAGTCCCCACAGCATTATGATGCCTCTAACATACCATATTTCTACCATTTTGTTTGTTTGGAGTACTGTGGAGAGGTGTTAGATTCCCATCAGCCTTAGATTTTGCACAAAGACTGTTTGATACTGCTTTGGTCTTTTCAGACATGGTAATGTTTCTGTCTTCAGGAGTGGCGGCTTAGTGGTAAGGGCATTGAGTTTGGAATCCTGAGGTTCTTTGTTCGAGTCCCACTCCCACAGACTTATGGGCCTCTGAAAAAAGACCCTGAACCCCACACTGCTCCCTGGGTACCACACAATGGCAGCCCACTGCTCTCTAAGGGAATCGGTTAAATGCAGAGAGCTCATTTCGTTGACGGGTAGTGTTTGCCTATTGGTCAGAGCAGTGAGCTTGCTCTGAGAAGGTTGCAAGCACCCGGTTCACAGCCCGCACTCTGGCTCTCTGAGCAAGACTCTTAACCCCACACTGCTCCCCGGGTGCCACACAATGGCAGCCCGCTTCTCTGTAAGGGGATGGGTTAGATGCAGAGAGTTAATTTCTCCATAGTGAGATCAATAAAGTTCAATTTATTTATGTTTTTTCTTTTCTTTATCCTTATATTTGTTCAAAGCTGCTCACTCCATCCCTTTCATGACCGTGGTTTGGCACCATTTGGGGTTTATATGACTTTTTAACAATGGGGGTTCTTTTTGCTGCTCTTCTACATTTGTTAAACTTTTCCAGTGAGCATATATTTGCTGTCTCAAAGCAGAGCTGCAGCCAAAGTCACCATCGGGTCCTATGGCTACTTCTCTGATCAGTGCTCTACTTTTTTGCCCTGTCAAATCTTACTGATATCCTAGTAAGATTGCCGTTGGGCAAATGCACTGGATTTTATTTAAGTTAGTTCAAAGTGAGCTGGATACACAATTGTAAATATTTTTATTGGTTAGAAAAAGGGACATTTCCCTTCCACCTTAAAACTACGCCCTGTTTTTGATTTGATCCATTACATAAATTCCTTGTAAAGTATATATCAGTTGTGATTGTGATAGGGCAACATGCAATAAAGTAGAATAGCATGGATTATTTCATGTAGGACATGGTTTTCAATTTTCTCTACAATTATTGATTTGATGATCATTTTGTTTTTTTAATATTTAAACATGTATTGTTCTTGTATCAACATCGGGTAATCCTGCCGCTTCCAGGAGAGATAATCTGTTGTTTTAATTCTTAAACGTGTTAAAGTTTTGGTATAATTGCCATTTGGAATAACAACACCAGTTCAAACTGAGCTGGTTTGGTTGTAATTTATATTCATGGGAAATCAATCAGAAAGTGGGGCACCTAAAAAGAGACTGCAGGGTTTATTTTAAGCACCCTACGTCCCCCTTGGTCATTAGATTCATCTGACAAACATCAATGGTGTCCTTTTACAGTGACAAGAACATGAAGTGCCTGGAATGCTTTTGCAATGTGAGCTATTTTTAGGATGTTTTTCAGTCTTCTCAAGAAAACAAAAAAAAATGTTCATTTCTATTTAAAATCATTTGAACTGAAATTAGAAACATAACGGATTAAATCTTGCACCAAAATAATGGTAGGATGTAGCAAGTGTTGCCTAATATGTTTACTACAGTATATATTGTGTGATTTAGGCACAGATTGACAGGATCCTTTGGGTTGTTGCATCTTCTGTTTGGCCTGAATGGCTGTTCTCCAGCATGATGGAAAAAAGAAACGTGACGGCTGTTTTTAACTTTCACACTGACTAATCCTGTTGACATCCAAGACCAGTCCTTCACCTATATAAACAGATGGGAAAGCCCTCCAGTTCATCCAAGCTGAAAAGATGTTCTACGAAGTAGCATTGATCGAGCTCACCGCTCTTCATGGAAGCCCAGGTGAGGATTTTTTTCTTTCTTTTAATTTTCAGGGAATATTTCTTGGAAAATGAGCACAAACAGAGACAATGTTGTGCAATAGTAGACTTTGATTTGTGTTTTTTGGCTCTTGTTTTCTGTCTGTTTTTTACAAACTAAGCTTCCGGATATGATGATTTTTGGTTCTCGGATGAAGTAAATTTACTTTCAGGAAGTAGTTTGTCACTGACCTTTTGGTTGGCCTAAAATGATAAAAGGTACAAGGATAAAAAAATGTTTTGGCTGATGTTTGATCACCAATTTTGTGAAGCTTTGATCCAATATTAGTTTATTCAAATAAATTGTAAGAGAATTATTCTTTTTTAAAGTTGTAGAGAACATATTTGAAAATATACTTATTTGTGCATGATAATAAAAAAAAAAGAAATTTAAATATTTTATATAAAAAAAGCTCTGATTGTTTTTCTTAGTTATGTTAAAGGACTCACTCATTGAGTGACTTATATAAGAGCCTACCAACCTTTTTTCTAAAGATCTGTAATTTAGTGTTTGTTAGAATATGAGACATCCCAGTGAGAGAGATAATGCTGTAATCAGATCTGCAGTTAAAAGGTTCCACAAATAGACAAATAAAAATCAGATTTCTTAAAAAAAGATAAGAAGAAACATTTTTGCTGTAACAGATTTAGCTTCCTGCTCGAATACTGATATGGAATACAGTTGGATTTGCCTGAGCTGTTCTGGCTGTAAGCTTGGAAATCACATGAGGTCTGCTTATTGTCTTTCTAACTGCTATTAGAAATACAAGATGATGATTTTATTTCTCTCCAATGAAATGCAAAAGGAATATGATCACTAAAAGACATCATAGAGCATTATTTGTGCTTGACATCAAAATTGCCCTAACTTCTTATAAGTACTTTATTATTGCAAGTCTCTTCTTTTCATCTGCACTGCAGTAGTGATGGAGCCAGAAAACATTCATAGAAGTGGCCAGACATGGACCAATGTGCACTGAGGGGTGGCCTAATATTGAATAGTCAATAGAACCAGTTTAGGGCCAGGATCCACTGATCACAGTGTACTATTTAGAAAAATGAATGAGAAAAAACATCCATATGTCCCAAACAAATCACTAAAGACAGATTAGATCCTAATGAAGCCCTTGCTAGTCTTCACATTAGTGCTGCAACTTACGTCTTCCTTACAGAAGACTTTTTACAAAATGAAACCAGGTGATACTAATACTTTTCCACTCTTGTAGTTCTGGATAGAGGATACTGATAAACAAAAATATTTTTTTATTTTAAATGCAAAATCTTTATATATTTTTTTACCATCTTGGTATAATTACTGCTCTAAATGGGTTACTCTGTCAGCTAAAGGCATGTTTTACAGTCTATACTCCAGTTAATGATGATTTGATTACTTAATTTAGTTGTCGATTATTTCATTAATCACGATTAATGCAATTAGTTGTTTCAAACTTACTTCATGCACAGTTATACTTCTAGGCTGTCTAAATCAGTTATAGTTCTGATTAATATACATATTTAATGGGTTGAGCACTGGTTCTGTTTCTAATTTCATAAAAGAGTCTTTCCCTTTATCCCCATAAAGCACTTAACTTTGTTATCGATATATATATATATCTTTTTAATTTTTTTAGAATTTTGATGTTAAAAATTAATTAATTACTAGAATCAAGTGTCTGCTTTAGGCCAATGTATGCTTCTGACGCATAGCCTCTGCAACCATCAAATCTGTCTCTGTGCACGACCACGGCAAAAAATTCTGACTACGCACCAGACAGTCGCAAACCCGTGCAGACCTCATGTGGAAGTGCGCAGACAAAAAGCAGCCTTGATTGGTCCTTGGTATGCCTTTCCGGCTGTCTGTGTGGTCCTTCTCAATTCAGTGCCGGGGCCCGCCGTTTTTAAAAACCGAGGAACAACTACGATGGACATTTGCCATCTCCATTAACAGAACCTGTTCCTCCTAAATGTCTAGCAACTCTAGACCCATCTCCGTGACGGTGACATCTTGCAGACACACCATTGTTGTTTTGGAAGATAAACACCCGCTGGCGCCGCAGAATTTCTCGTGACCATCCGCCGAAGTTCTCGCGAGTTCTCTAATAGGTCCCCCCTTGCGCTTTGCAGGACACTGCTATGCGTCCCTAGAAATCCCAGACCGACGGTGCAGAAGAATGCCAGCAAAACTAGTTTGCGACCAGACTCAAGTGACATTTGATGTGTGAGGTTGCAGAAGTCTGATCTGCCCTTTACTGTATGTTTAAAATACTAACTTTCCCTCTGAGAGTATCACTACTGCCACCCTCTGTTTTAGAGGGGAACTGCTTGTCCTGGAGGAGGTTAAGTAAAGTATGTCTCTACTGGAACAACAAATTGCATGTTAGGGGTGGCCATGTCTACCCCTGGCCCCCTTTCTAGCTCCGCCACTGTACTACAATGTGTTGGGTACTGATAATTGGACTGATAATATTTCTGAAAAAGAACTTGGAAAATCCAGATCTCACTATTATACAAAGGTTTATTGTTGTAGCCCAGACAACGGTTTACTTTCTTTACCTTTAATTTACATCCTCACTGATACCGAAACAAGCCGACCTTAAGTCCTCCTCATTCAGTGATCAAGGCCAATCAACTGTAAAATATGCCAATGTCTTGAAGTATCTCTAAAAACTCTTCTTTGTTTAAAATATTTGATTTAGGTTGTAATTTTAAACATTGAAAAACTTAATCAACACATTGAAATTATTTTTTTTCCCTTTAAGTTGCCATACTTTCAAAAAAGACAAACAAAAAAAACAACCCACAGGGTTTTGTGTCAAGCGTTTAGAGCGAGACCATCCATTCATCACTTGTTTCGTCCGCTGCTCCAGACCTCTGCCTGCTCTCCCAGTCTGCTGCTGAGGCAGCAGAGCAGTGTAGCGTGGGCCTGGTGGAGATCAGGGACAGGCACAGCGGAAGACAAATGGTCACATTTATTCATTAGGAACTATGTGTCACTACAGCACACCCAAGCACCTGAATCAGCACTGACTCAGGTTGAACGGTAGACTTCTCCTGAGTAAGAGAAGCTATTTCTCTTAGCCACCTAAATGTACTTCCGAAAGCTGACGTATTTATCATTTTATTAGGATTCAAATTGAGTAGGAAGCCTGTGCTTGTACCACAGATTTGTTATCACTCACTTGTGATATTGATTAAATATGTGTTTTGTACGCTTGATGGCTCCTCTTCTGTTTGTGTTTCATCGCTGTGTGCTTCTCATTGCTCGATGGGCGTGGAAACTGTTCTGTTTGCTGCCCTTATCTGCTCTCTCCTGTCCTTATCTTTGCTCTGTTGTCTCCAGCCCTCTATTGGATCATTGTCACGTTTTAGTCCTACAGTCTGCAGCACAGTCAGACTGGCAGACTTGGTTAAGCTTGAGTAAAATAGACCTTTGTACTCTGTGTGGATTCGGAGGGCAGCACATTTTTGAGAGGCTGACTTCTTCCATGCCCTGTGTTTCTTTAAAAGGGCCTCAGGAGGACGCCACCCTGGGCTCTGCGGGATGGACAACACCAGAGGAACTTTCAGAGCAGGCTTCTCAAGCACAGCACCTCGAACGGCTGGCTCAGCTCTGCATCATGAGCAAACAGTAGGTAAAATAATGTGCTGTTGGGGCCTCAGCTGCAAAGCATTTAATGGGGGGAAAGATGTACTGCTGGCTTATTGACTCAGGCGGCTCTTTGTGGGTGGATTTACTTTCATAAACTTTATAGTAAACATACACTTTTTATTATCTTAATAATACTGACATTATTTTGGAGGGCTGGTTTTGTTGCCTTTTCTTTATTCCCCTCAAAAAAGCAGTGCAGTTAGTCACAAAATATTGTTCTTTTTGCATACTCTAATACATTTGTATCATTAGTGCATACATACAAAAAGCTTTTTGATCAGTTTGCATTGAAGAAGCAAATAAAACAAGTCTGGTTTGAATGAAGAATCAATACCTTATAAAAAAAAACTAAACATTTTTATTGTTGCACCTGAAGCCCAGTAAATCGAAGCATGTCCCCCCCTCTAGATTGCATTTTCATGGAGAACTCTAACCTTAATGATTCCTATCAGCTTCTATATATTGAGGAAAGCGACACCGCTCTCTCTAACTAGATCTGGTGTCCTCCGTTACATTGGCTCTTTGTTCCTGCCATAGCATACACTGTGTTTTCTCTGCCTCTGTTGTCGTTGTCGAGAAAAGGCCATTTAACCTGACTGCCGTGGAGGGCGACAGAGGGTGGAATGTTTGCACAACGGAGGCCCTGGTCACTGCGCTTAATTAATGCAAGTAGCATACAGTGGTTAAACATGAATGAGATGGTAATGACTGAGCATGGCTTGGGTTTCTAGCTATGTAAGGACACATGGGAATTTGATTCTGCTCTTTACTTTGGTCCTGCGTGCTTTAGAAATGTATCCAAATGGCTGTAAAACTTATAAAACATGCAAACTCTCCTTTACCTTTGCGTATATAAAAAAATGTTTCCATGAAGCACCAACTAGAGCTATATTAAGACTTTTCTCCATGCAAATTTGAGGCTATATCCCTTTTGATTGGGTAAGGCAGTGGGCTGATTTTGAAAGAAATGTCCTCATTAAAGGCAGAAAATTAGCATTAAACATGCTAAAATGTTATTATAATATATTTTTCTTATCAGGTTGATGACATTTAAATCAAATTAGATGCTTATAACAAGTAACCAAATAATTCACCAAAAAAAATATGAACAACTATATATAATTAACTCATGGGACTGGTTTTAAAAGGAAACTAATATGTCATTCTAATATAACAGCCTAATAAGCCTTTTTTTCTCCTTTGTCATTCAGCTTTTATTAATACAATTTATGGACTTCCTTGTGTTTAATTATTTGCATTAGTTGGATTTTTAGAGACTCCTGGGGTCAGTTTGGAAAGCTGGTATCCATCACACTAAACACAACTTGCTCTGCATCCACAGACAAGCTGGTGTGAGGTTGATGAATGTCCTTGCTTGACTTTTTCAGGGCAGATATTCATGGAACGCCTGGCAGGACTTCAATGAACCGCATCACGTTCATTTAGCTTAGCACTTGACAGGAAAGCGACAGAGAGGCATGAGACAATAAACCAACCTGTAATCACCATTCCTTCCATAATTCCCCCTGGAGGACAGACGGCAGCAGTACTTGTAGAAATCAGAGGGCTCTATGTCCTCAGTGAGGCGCCTGCATGCCCACATGTTGTCCACTTACGTTGGACACGTTTGAATATGACGTTCCATTATGATCCAAACTGCCTTAATGCTTCAGAGCTTATAAGCCACATTCCCAAGTAGTTTTTTTTTTTTTTTTTTTTTTTAAAGTATCAGTTGGATTTTCCTCAACCTAATAGTGCCATATTACTGCATCATCACACATACACCCCCCAGTAAATATCTTATTTTCCTGCTGTTTTAACACAAGTTTTAGTGGAGGAAAACTATGCAAAATAGAGCTGATCATGAATGTCATATTTACATTTCACTCATTCCTCCTTTTCATTTAGTATTACTGCTTTGTATAAAAACAAGTGTTTGCGTATGCTTTTATATCACATTCATTTGACCTCTAACCTAATCCACACCAGCAGTGCATAGAATTACGAGTAAAGCAGGATTTTTGTGCCAACAATCTGTCTGACAAGTGTTGATAAAAACCAGCGTGAAATGCTAAAGCTTTGAGTTTGTACTTTTCTTTTTTTCCTCTTAAATTAGTCATATCGAAAATTAACCATTAAGTATTAAATACAGGCTTCCAAAAAGCATTTCTTTTTCTTTGGTCCAGAGCAAAGTTCATGGTAACAATGATTTGCTTAATTGGTGCCACTGGTTGCAGCTGTTGAAACCTAAATATCTGAAATAAGGCAAATGCTGTTCAACATTACTGCCTTGCTGGAAACTCCACAGTGAGACTCCTAGAACGTCAGAAAGGGACATAATCACATAAGAAAGAGTGGATAATGAAAATAATTAAGCGTCTGCTTTCAGACTTAGGTTTGGTTAAAAGAAGGACCTAATTCTAATGATGGTTCTATTGAAAGCCTGTAGATATCTGAATGATTAGCAATCTAAAAAAAAAAAAAACATCTTCTAGGTCACATCTAAGAGAAATTCTCATTGTATGCTGTCAGTATGTCTAAATAAAATCCAGTCATATCCTGTCCAGCAGAAAAAAAGACCTTGTAAATCTTCTAGACTCCTCAATATCACTCGAACAATCAATAGTTTGACTAAATATGGTTCTATAAAGAGTCGTGCATGCTTCGTTACGACAAGCATTGTGTTTTTAGAGGGGAAACTTTTTTAAAGCTTTTGATTTTTCTCTTTTCTTTTCAGACCTCATCTTGCCTTAGAATACAGTGGTAAGGTACGTTCAGCAATCATCTCTTTTTCTGCCTCTGCAGATATTTATAGATTTTTATTTTTTTATTTGGACAAATTAATTCAAACTAATGTTTTACACCTGTTTGCTTGTAAGAAATCCCTACTGGTAAGCCTAAGATCAGCGCCATCTTAAAAGAAAGTGAAGGTAGCAGCTCTATCGCCCTACAAAAGAAAAAAAGATGTTCACTCATTTGTTTGTGGCTTTGGATCAATGGCCCCTTCATTCTTTTCGCCTGTTACATGATGTCACTCTCCATCTGGAATGACAAAGTAGTTTACTGGTTTTGTCTTCACTCCATTGGCTTCCTGCATCATCAACATGTAATATTTTATCGATCGTTTGCACACTTCTTGGGCTTCCCCCTGCTTATCTGAGGAAACTTGCATCCCACCATACCCTAAGAAAACTTCTTTTTGTAACAAAGAATATTCAAAATAAATCAAAAATTGCAAATGAATTGGTTAAAGGAACATTAAAAATATGGGCAATTGTTAAAAGAAAGTTAAATATGTTAAGTTTAATTTGTAGAGCTACTAAAACAGCATCAAATCCAGACTTTATACCCTCAATGGAAGGGGGATTTGAATGGTGGCAAGAGAAGGGCTTGGTTTATATTGGACAACTTTTTAAAAATGAACAAATGAAATCTTTTCAACAACTAAAAAAATGAATTTCATGAATGAAATGAATGTAAGGAAAAAAATTGAAACTATTTGCAAAGAAAAGTTGAACCTAGATTTACAAACATTCCTGCCGAGCATTGTTAAATAGAAAAAAGAAAATTATTCAAATACTGATTATGATAGCAAAGAAAATAATAACAATCTTCTGGCTAAAGCCACAACCCCCGAGCACCGACCTTTGGTGGGAAAGAGTTAAGGAAGTGATGGTGAATGGAAAAAATAACAGCAAAATTACAGTTTAAAGATAGATTGTTTCAAGGGACATGGGCACCTGTACTTACGGAGATAGAAAAACCTAAACTGTTCTGGAACTTTAACTGTAATAATTTTCATCTTTGGAATGGATAGGAATACAGAACGTGTATGGATTTTTTTTTCTTAATTATGTATTTGTATTTATCTTGGCTTCTGTAATTTGTTTTGTTTGCATTTATAAATCAACACCTTTGGGAAAGGAAAATGTAAACAATTTATGAAATTCTGTAAAGAAATGGTTTATGCCGTTACCAAATAAAAATAAATATAAAAAAAAAAAAAAAAAAACTGCTCTGTTCTACTAAACAGATGCTCTTTTATCTCTCACTAACCTAACTCATAAACAGTGGTGGCCATGCTTTTGCAGTGGCAAGACCAACTTTTTGGAACAAACTTATCATGCACATGATTAAGTTCATAGATAGGGCAGCTTTAAAAACCTCCCAGTATTCAATATTTATAATTATCTTGCTGTTGTAGCGAGTCATTTTGTCATCCTAATGTGAATTTGTGTGAGATTTACGCTTTTTTTGTTGATATTATTATTGAATACTATGAAGGATTTTAATTTGGATTTCTCTGTGCGATTTAGGCTACAAAGATTCACCAGAGAACCTATGGTAACGATCATCCGGTAACAGCCCGAAGCCTGGAGCTCATGGCAACTGTCTATGCCGAGATCGGGAAGACGGAATATTCAGGTAAACTCTCGAATGATGTGCAGGAGCAAAGTAAACACAGGGCTCTTTCCAGAGAAATGGTACAACGTAGATACTGGAAATATACTCCTTTAAGAACTGATGTAAATCAAACAAGGGTGTGTAACTTCTGGAAGACGCCTGTACAGCCCATTAAAACACACATTACACAGAAGGTCTGTAGTTCTTTAGTAACTCTCAAGAGAATATGTCAACTAGTGAAAATGTTGAATTAATAAACACCTGGACTTGTGTTGGACACAGAAATGGTTTTATGGGAAACAAAAGCCAATATGTAGCTATGTGACAGTTTGAGGCCATGATGTTGTCATGCTGTGAGTGCGCCTTGCTTGCACTTGAAGAAGCAAAGACTCTCTCTCCATCTTTCTTCTTTTTTTTTTTATTTGCCGCTGGAGTGATACATTAAACTATCCATGTTGCTAGGTCAGCTTTTGGAGGCAGGGATGCATAACAGCAGCTAACTTACAATGTTAGGCACAAAAGAGAGGTCGCAGTTCACAAAAAAATCTTGCCTGCCTTCCTCAGAAGGCTGCATTAATCTTTTTTTAGTATTGAAAGAGACTTAAATATGAGTTAAATAGATGGGTCAATGTTACAGCTTTTCCTTATACATTTAATTTTTTTCACAGTCCACAAATATTTTACCAAAAGCCCTGAGGATCATCAATATGAATTTTTACGGAATCAATATGTTTTGTGTTTTTCTTATTGTTTGTTTTCAAACACGTGACGGTATTTGGTTTTCGATGGTGTCAACATTAGGCTTGACCTTTTCATTCTAAAGTTATGCAATTTTTCTTGCCAATTAGAATGACTCTGTCATTGTGTAATCATGTACTCTGAATTCAGCTGAGGAAAGTGAAGCCCTCAGTTTTTAGATTTTGTTGTAGGTTGTTTTATGACCTCCTTGTCGACGACAGTCAAACAAACTGAGTCGCTGAGCGGCTGAATAGGGGAATTCTTGTTTATGCGCTCGCTGATCAGAACTTCAGTCTAAGCTGCAGCTAAGATCCTTTTAGTGATATTGATCTTCAAACACCAGTTTTAATGCACCATAAAACGAATCCACAGGTTCGAGCCATGATCAAAGGCACAAAAAAGAAAAAAATAATAATAATAATAAAAAAGTCCAGAGCTTAAAGCAAAACAGTAGACATCACCCACACACTGAAACTCCTCAGATGAGCAAAACAGGTTATCTTACAATCATTACGGATGCCACATAATCAAAAATATCCCCATCCATCACACTCCTGGTTAAATTGATCTTAGGGTAGTTATGGTAGGGAGGCGACTCCTGAAAAAGGTTTACACCAGTTACCTCATTTATTGTTGGTTGATTTGGATATTTCCCCCTATTAATTTCTATAATCTGATCATTTTTAAAATGATTTGAAAATATTTTAAACATATTTGTATCCTTTTACCATGGTTGATAGATTTTCTTTTTTAATATTTGCCTGGGTCAACTAAAAGAAACCCAAATTTAATTTAAAAATTAAAATCTATTATTTCTGTATCAAGTTTAAGCAGGATTTTACAAATTAATTTGTACAAAAAGCTCCTTTTTGGATTAAGATCATTTGCCTGCAAAGAAAAACTTGAGTCGGTTTTGATTAAAGTGGGTGCGATGTTTTATTTTTTGTGCATAAATTGCTGTGTGTAAAATGGATGCACCTTCGAAAGTGCCAACTGCAGCCCCCACCTCAAGGCTCTTGAAAATATTGATTTAAATTTACTTTGCTAATTAATAGAGACCAGTGGCGGCTGCTGCTCTCTGAAACAGGGGAGGCTCAATGGTGTGAATGAAATACAAACTGCATGTATTGCATTAACTAATGTTGAAACAAAAAAAAAACACATCTCTACAACGGGTAAAAAAAAACACTTGTGAGGCACTCTGAAATATTAAACTCCACGGAAAACACGGCAAGAGTTCTGCACAAGATGAGTGTTCTGATTGACTGATCACTTTTCCCACTGGAATCATGAGGAAAACCTCCTTTCTGTCTCGCCACAACAGTCAAAAATCCTTAAATATGTTTGCCAATCAGCATCAGGGGCAGGTCGCTGCTTACCTCAATAGACTGAGGCTCAACAGCTGATTATTGCACAATATAATCATGAAATCAGGCACATATTAGCGCATATTTAATTTAGCTTAATGACTACATTTATTTTTGTTTGACTAAGCATATTTTACCAGTACTTTTAGGAAATTAGCAGGGGAGGTTTAGCCTTGAGAGTAATAATAAGAAATCGACACTGATAGAGACATGACTCATGTCCCTGAAGTGCCTGTGACAGCATGGAGACTCAATCCAAGCTTAACCTTCTGGATCATTTCCAGAATTTATCTTTGCTTGTTGACTTCAACATGCCCCTATGACACGTCCTTTAATATCTGTGTTATTTTTAGGTTTATTCTGCCTGATAGACCTTCACATAGCAAACAACTGACAGAGATAACCACTGGCTTTTTGAGTCGCATAACAATCTAGAAGATTAAAAACATTTTCAGTTCAAGTTTATTTAAATATATATTTTATTAGTTTATTTTAAACTTGAAAACATTCTGCAAAATATATTTTTTTTTAAACAAGGGGAAAAAAAATTTTGTGATGTTGATTTGCTTCACATAACCGAGAAATAAAGAGGATGAAGGGGATACACCAGTTCAACCCCAATTCTCCTTAATATGCAGTTATTATACTGAGTTACACATTTTTTTTTAAAATCTAATTATCATAAAGCAAAAACTAAGTAACAGAATTTTCACTGATGAATGGGTGTTTCTAAATCTGTGTTAACTGCTTTTTTTTTTCGGGAAATTGTTTTATTTCCACTCTGATACTATTCCACAATTACTTAACAGACAGAAGTGCAAACAAACAGAAATATGCAAATAAATAGTTTAGAAATGGAAAAATATTTTTTTCCTTCCTAAAAGGTGCCTTGATTCTTTCCTAGTAATTTATAACTTTTCTGCTTTAGACAAAATGTTGGCTGCATTTCATTAAATTAACACCTTTTACTATTTCACCTTAAAATAAAAGAAATGGTTGATTTTTATACTTGGCAAGTAAAATTGGTTGATTTAAAAAAACACTTTGTAGTTACAGTCCGAGATCAAAGCCTAGTTACTCTATGAAATACTTTAAACAGTTTGGAAATAATTAATTAAAAATGGTTTCTCAGTAGTTCAATATGATTTCCGTCTACATCCCTGTCTTAAGTATCAGCAAAGGAGATATCACATGTTTAGGCTCTGAAAAGGTTGCAAGTACCTGGTTTGATCCCCACAGCCTGCACCCTGGGACCCTGAGCAAGACCCTTAACCCCACTCTGCTCCCCGGGCGTCGCACAGTGGCAGCCCACTGCTCCCCAAGGGGATGGGTCAAATGCAGAGGTGAATTTCTCCATTGTGAGATTAATAAAGTTTAATTAAAGTTATACCATTAGGAGCACCTTGTGTGGGAGATCAAATTGTGCTGTGAGAGTTTCAAGAACTTTTATTGTTGGTCCTGTGCAACAGTTTTAAACAACCTGAGATCCAATTTGATTGAGATAAAAAAAGACTGAAAATATACATGAAATATATTTATTCCTCAGATATTCAGCAACTTTTTCTTTTTTTTGTTGCATTTTCATGGTTTGTTAATCCCTCCCTAGATATTAGATACTGTGTATTTGCTGAACGATAGTGGCAGGCAAGGGTTAACATTATTGCAGTTGGTCTAGGACTTATTTGCATGTTCCACATTGCAGGTTTTACCTCCAGCTCCCTTTCTGTCTTAACCTCAGCCTCTTTAATCAGCTCCCTGCTCACAGACTGTGTGGTCATGGTTTTCTCTTTAGATTCTCTGGGCCAGTGTGTGTCGGCACTTTCCAAACGCTTTGCCACTGCAGAGTCCCTCAGAGACACCGTCAACTGTCTTCATCATTCCCATCGCGAGAAAATTTCCGAGGTGTGTCACAGAAAAGACTCCCACCACCAACACGAAGACAAACTCACACATAAGGTAGGGGTTGGGACCTGTTTACAAAATAAACATATTTGTTTTTGGGTTTTTTTGGCTTTTAAAATGTTCTCCTTGCAGGTAGCGTACGTACTCACCTTAAGTTGACTTTAATACAGGTGACCAGCGGCAAAATTCCTACCTCCATTCTAAAGAGGCCAAGTCCCAACAATGGGTCAGACACAGAGCCCAGCCACAGACGGAAAGGCGAGCGCAGGGTTCGATTCAGGGAGCCAGAGACCACAGTGCATGGTAAGAAACATCCCTTTTAACAGTTTCCAGAGTGCAGTCACTCATAGCTTTAAGCAATTTGAAAAATTCTTCCCTGGCTTTTTGTCATTGCCATTTTCACATTCACAGGAATTTAATTAAGTAAATGCACTCGAGCATTGAACCATTAGAGTCCGAACATGTTAAAGTAATTAAATCAAGCCATGCAAATGGCATTCCATAAATTCCTTAGTTAAAAGTAAGACTGCAGTAACTGATTTGTAGCTGGTGTGTCAATTAAGTTGACTTCTGTTGACACAAAACCTATTCTCTGTTGGCTTCACAGACTTTTACTGTGATCCTTTAGGTGGTAAGTTTGTTTAACTGGATCACTAAGTTGCATGGGGAGCACCAACAGCACTGCACTCTGTTTAGATCTATCAAAAGATCATCACAATATTTAGCTTATGTGGTGATTTTAAAAGCATTTTTTGCTCCACATGCACAGTTTGGTCAAACTAATCACAGATTCTTACCCATTTTTTTTCTAATCTGAAATACAAACTGTTTAAGACACATACAATCCACACATTCAAATAATTTGTATTCATATGTGTTGTATTGAAATATTTGATTTTAAAAATACAGTAATGAAATGGCATGTATCATAATTTTTGGTATTGCTTGAACTTGAACTTTTAGAAATATAACATTTTAGAAATATTTGCTTTAACAACACAAACTACAGAAAACCCCGAGTTTTAGTCAGTGACAGTGAAATCGACTGTAAAGTTTTATTGAAATATCTGGAAAGTTATATCACTAATAAATAAGATAAAATGTATAGCAATAAACATTGAGAGGGAATTATTGTCTGCCCGACAACACAATATGATTCAATTTATGACATAAATTTGGTCAAAGGTTATACAAGTCTACCCATTTCCATTAAGACGTGACTTTGCAGAATTGTTTTTATATAACTTTAAGAGCTTAGGACACTTAGAAAAGAGATGAGGTTACTTATGGAAAGAGAAGCTCCAGCATTAGTGTGTAAAGCAATGGAACAAAAGCAGTGATTGCAGGTCGAATTTCAGACCCGACAGCCCACACTTGATGTAGGAGTTTTAAAGCGCGCTGTGGGGAGCCCTGTCAGCACCTACTTCACCACTATGGTGCCAAACACGCTCTGATGGACACTTTAATTTCTGACCTGGTTCTGCCCAGCATTGATACTCTGAACAGAAGTGTCTGTCACTACATTCCTCCCTTCAAGTTTGTAGCAGAACCCACTTAATATTATCAAACCGTGCATTGGTTGTTCAAGTCTTATCTTACTCCATATGATCAGTTTGTTTTACATGCAAAATATGCCTCAAATATGCCTCAAAATTGAAGCAGTCAAACCTAATTCCAGAATACTTCCTACGCAGTCTCTCAAACTCTAAAGCCCGGCGTACACTGTGCGATTTTCGGGGTGATTTTCCAGTCTTTCGATCGGCCCGACTTTCAGCCTGATTGTGAGTCGTATTGTGTACAGGGGGTTACGAGGGGCGATCAGCCTCTTACGGCCACCTCCCGATCAGGAATGGTGAGGTAGGGAGAATATCAAACATGTTTGATTTTCTCCCGACCGTCGTGGGCAAATCGCTCAGTGCGCATGCTCAAAGAGCAATTCTTCTTTTTTATCCCTCCCATCAGATGTAAACACAGCAGCATGGCAGGGATGCAATGAGTGAAATGCAGCTCCGTCTGCAAAATTGACAGACAGCAGCAGCCACCCCTGCTCAGCCAAGTCCTTTTTCCAAATACATTGTCGCCCTTTCTTTCTAGGACCCTCAGCACAAAATTGCACAAATTGCCAAGGCAGCGCGGTTCACTATAGTGAGCTTTATATTCCCCTTTTATTTGTTTGGCTTCAGGATAGAGAGCTACAGAGCAGCGCCATCTCACTGCGGGGCTCAGTCCGACGTGGTTTTTAGTCGTGCAGTGTGAGCAGGTAGATCGCATCAGAGCGTGGGGCCGAATATAAATCATGAGCTGTGAACTCACACTGTACGACTAAACCCTGAGGTTAATCGTACAGTGTGAGCAGTAGATGCGTGCAACGATTGAAAAAAATTGCACAGTGTACGCCCGGCTTAAGTCAGTCTGAAGTTTCCCCACCATTAAGGTCCCCTAAAGTTAATTCAAGCCACACAGAGGTTCAAATATTGATACAAGTTTAGATTGAAATTTAAGACAAACACTCTCTAATTTATTGGGAAAAGTGTGTCTCAGCTGAAGCCTATAGTTACTATGGATAAGCACTCTGTTAATTATCTAACACGATGTCCAGACAGCAGCTGATGAGTCGTACTGAACATATTAAAGAGAACAAAAGGTATTTTCACACATGAAACACATTGTTCTCACAAACAAACAGCTGCAGTTTGTTAGATGGTTTGGCTGTCGACTCCCTGCCCAAGCTATGCGCCACAGGCACTCCGTTTTTTTTTTTTTTTTCTTTGTTTTTTCCTTCTCTTGAATCCCTTTGGGAGATATTCATTGGTATGTGATGAAAAACCCTTCCTCTTCCCCAGATCTTACCTATATCACCTGCACAGGTATTTGAAGCATTAATGCTTGCTTTATCCTGTTCTATTAGCAAAAAGTGACTTAACATCTATTTGATATTTTACTGTTAGAAAGCTCCTTTTTCATTGATAAAACATATTGTATGTATGTATAGCCCATCAGAGACTGCAGATCTATCTGACGGTATAATCGAAACATTATAACTTTACCTGTTTTTAAGAGATGCGTTGTTGTGTCTCCGAAAAATAAGTTTGAAAGGCTTGTTTATTATTCATGGTATTGGTACTTAAAGGTTTATGGGTCCTACATCTGGTGTTATTTTCCCTTTGTTTGTAGAAAACCAGCTGCAAAAAGCTCCTTTCTATTCTCCTTAGGTCTAAAATGAAAGTCTTGTGCACTTGAATATACAAATACCTCTCATTTACAATCCAAAACAACTTAAATGTGATCTCCTTTTCCAGCTTATGAGACGACGCCGACTCGCCCACATCTCGCCCTGTTCACCTGTCTCTTCCTACTGATGTCATTCCTCGGCGTGGCGATGTACTGCACCGATCGGCGGCGGCCGCAAAGAGCATGCGAGGAGCTGGAGGCCGCCTTGGCCGTCTACCTGGTGCACATGAAGCAGCTGCTGTGGGGCTGCTGGATATGGCTGACCATGCAGTGACTGTGACAGACCACAGATGGAGACGTGGAGCTATTTTATTCCCCCAGTTGTTTTTTTTTTTTACCTTTGAAGGTGCCCAGGCCTATAAACAGCTCCGCCATGTTGCATGGCTCTGAAATGGCACCCCTTCCCCACTGAAAAAAGGGAATATATTAAATGTTGGAAACATGTAGCTTTCATTTCTGTATGTATATATCTATATATGCACTACAGTTTGGAAATGCCACTCCATGTGTTGGTTGTGAAAACATTTTGCACAATTGCAAGAATAATGTTCACATGATCCCCACGATGGTTTGATCCTTCAGTTCAGGTTAAAGTATTTTGCCTGTGAGTGGATGTTTCCAGGGAATGCAAATATTTATTTTATAACAAAACACTTATTTCTGTATGTTATATATCACAAACAACTGAATGTGTATATATGTTTCAATATACTAAGGTCTATCGCTATCAGTATTTAGCCTTGTATTTCCATATAAATGAATGTAGAGATGTTTGAAAATGATGCAGCAGTGCCCTTCTCCAGGGCCAAGGATCGCATGTTTGGTTCCGATCCGATAGCGCGTGAACACAGGGCTACATCACTTCGCAGTACGGGCTTAAATGAGGTAGAAAACACATTCTTCTTTCTTAACTGTGTTTCTTCAAGAGTATAAAAATGTGTGGCACATTATAGTTAGTCAAAGTGAACATACCCAAACTGCAGTGTCTTGTAAAAGACTTTTCATGCCCCTTTTTTTCCCCTCATGTTTTGTCTGTTCATTAGAATTTTAAAGTGAAAAACTAGAGCATAATTCAGAACTGGAATTCATGCTGCATCTTTTATGTTTATATACATGTAAACTTAATAGGTGCTACATGCATTGGTTCCTTTAGATTCGGTATAGAGGGAACAGAGTAATGAATTGAATGCTAATGTACGTCACACCTTTGAATGCTTTAAGCTTTTTTTTTAATCTTACAGGTTTCTTTTGAGTATCAGAGTAAAAGGGGCTGAACACATATTTTGTAACTTATTCTTGCTCCCTCTAAATAAAACTTTTTGCAACCAATTAAAATTTTGACACTAATTGACACATTTTTACTTGTAAAGAAATAATTGAAAATATCAATTTTCATCCAAAAAATGATTAAAGTCTCTGGTTTTACTGTGACAAAATGTGAGGGAGTGGGCTGAATGCTTTTTCAAGGTACTGTATAAGAACAGTTTAAACAATCCCACCCCAAATGCTGATACGCTTTACCCTTAATTCCCAAGTGTGACATATATGTCTATCTTCCACTGTTTTTCTGCATCAATGCAAGTATCCCAAAAATGTTTAAATTTTTTTTTTTTTACTATTTTGAAACCTTTAATGTTCTGCCGAATCCAATTGAATCGTTTTAATATTCCCACTCGCATACCATGCAACTGAGGCCAAACACAGAGATCTATCAGGAACAGATACTGAATTTATTGAAGGTATGAGTTAGATATGAGTCCCTTTACTGAATGAAAGAAATTCAGAAAAGCAGCCAAACTTGCACACGGAACAAATGGGAATCGAAAGGCAGAGTGATGCACATCCTACATACCTCTCGTTATGAGCAATAACACACAGCACAGTTTCCATTAGAGCAGTGCTCTCTGCATGGCAGGTTTCAGGGAAATCAACGTGATTGTGTTTGATTGTGGAGATCTCACATTTGAGGTTTGAAGCAATAAAAGGTAAAGCTATGCCTGCACAGAGGAAAAAAAAAAAAGAAACACTCACAGCTCAGTACTGTCAAACTAAATTGACCATAGCAATAAAATGGATTCCCAGTAAACTTACATCTTGTATATGCACACTTAGCTGCTTTTTACTGCTGTCTCAACATTTATGGTCACTTTGAAAGAAGTGCCTTTATAGAGGGTTTTCTTATTTCATGTTGTTTTATGATTTCAATTGTTTTAAATAAAAGTGTCATTACCTATCAAAGTCATATAACTTGCTTGTGCTCTTCCTGACTTGTAAGATGTGATTAAATGCCAAGAAAAGGCATGCAGGTATACATACATTTACATATGCCAGAGTAGTAAAATATAATGTTTTGTAGCATGAAGCGCAACGTCTTCTACTTTGCTTAAGCATGCAAATGATTCTCAGTTCACTACTTTTTCAAAATAAAAGCATAACTAAGGAGAAAATCTATCTGAAGACCAAAAAAAAAATAATTATCTTTATATCTAAAGAAACATCTCTATTTTGTCATGCAATGGGTACCATGCAAAAGTTTTACAAAGAAACTTGTTTTTACCAAATTTTTCCTCAATAATACTGAGTGGTTAAATATGATAAAATTAATTAAAGAAAACTCCAGTTTATATTTCAGGTAAATAGTTGTGAAAACATTTGGCTTTGGGTAATCAAGATCTGCATATCTTGACTAAATTTAAGCTTTATTCAAAGGAGAAAATGATCCATTTGACTTGATCTGCATTCAATGGAAGCAGAGGCCAATTGATTTGGATTGTCTCCACAGGCAAACGTTGGTGAATCGTATGGCGGATGAAAACTTACAGCTCTGGTCACAGGTTTAAATAAAGTCAAAACAACTGGCATTTTCATTTTTTGACTTTTAGTTGCACACTTAACCTTTTTTTAAAGTTAACAAATTAAAAGGCAACTCACCTCGATAAATAAAAAAAAAAATCAATCTTAATCACCTGTTTTCTAAAATCAACCGATATTTATTACTATAAAAATAGAGGGTAAATATAAAACTATTTTCTTTAGTTTTTTTCCAAGATATTTGAATTTTTTTTTTTTCCAAACCTATGATTTTTGGCTGCTTTATTCCAAAGCCAGTTTGTATGTGTTGTATCAATGTTCTATTACAACAACCACCTACACTGCAGAAATTTTAAATCTTAGTCAACTTTTACCAAAATAAGAGATTTTTTGTCTTGAATTGAGCAGGTATGTGAGACACTTAGCCAGTGGAATAAGACACCCTATATTAATTTAAAAAATAAGAAATAAAAACAACTGCAGCCTCTTATTTTAAGTGCATAATATCTAATTATCTTATTTTAAGGGTGAAATAGTAATTTAATTGGCCGATAATCTTATTTACCTACTCAAATTAAGAGTAAATACACCTATTTTAGGGACATTTTCCCAATTTTTAGATTGTTTTTGCAGTGTATGTCAATGTTTTACCATTTGGTTGTTTATTCGTGATAATGTTGAGATTTAGTCATCTCTCTACATTATTTCACCCACATTTTAGATTTGCATGCATTATTTTTTATAACATTGCAGTACAGACTTTCTCTTATAGGCTTTAGTCATTATAGCCCCACATTCAGGTATAATTACAGACCTACACCCCGGTGGCGAGTCATCCTGTCCTCGGCCACATGGATGAGTCAGTGCCTTGAAGCAAGCGGCTTGAATTCATTAGGCTCTAGCCAACTGGTCTCCACAAACATCCCTAAACCTGATGGTAGGGAGGGGGGTGAGGAGTCGTCCACATCTAAACATCTGTCTGTCGGATAAATATCAGCATGCCTCTGCTCACCTTATATAATGCCAGGCTAAGCAAGCTGTTACTTTCTCTCATCCTGGACGTTCAGGTAAAAAGCTCAATATTCGTTTCATCTGTCTATAAACTGTAATCTACATAGAACTCATTCAGCCTTTCCAAAACCACCTTTCAACCAAGCTTAAACCTAAGGGTCTTAAGATCGTGATCTCTCACATAAGCCTCAGATAAAATTAAAATAACTCACTGTAATTTTATCTCGAGGGGGGTTAATTAAATTGGTGCAAGATTGGGTCCGCCATTAGCATTTTCATCATAAATGGAAAAACAGAAATTTGGGAAGAGAGATTTTGGGAAGTTCTCACCCTAAATAAACTACGCTTGAATTGATCTAAGTGTGGGTAATAAATATGCTTTTTACACGATGTATTATGAGACGACGCGATATTGTCATGATGACAATAGACTAATTGTGCAATAGAATGATTTGGAGCATTTTTACGAGGAATAAGCAGTGAACTGGTGACATTCCGGAATAGTGAACAGAGCATTTGTTAAGCAGCAGCTCAACCAGCGTGTGCATGAAAGGGTATGTAAACAGAACAGCATCGCTGTTCAATGCATATGCAGCTAAACAGCCAATAAAATGTAGCAATTTATGTCAAAGAACACAAAAGAGGTCCCTCAGTGGGGCCTTGTTAGCTCCAGAGGATTTGGCACAAGGTTAACTCACATGTTTGGTATTGAGCATGTTGACTGGGAGGACACCAGGAAGGAGAGGAGGGTTTTTCATGGAAGAAAATACAGTTGGTGAGGAGTTTACAGTTAAGACTAAACTGATCTCCTTACTCATGGTATGGATCTGTTAAGGATCAGAGGTAGTTCCTGATAAGTACTGGAAATACATTATGTTTAAAAACATTGGTTGGAGCCTGGAAGCTGAACTGTATAAGTAAAGTCCATCATTTCAGCTAAGAAGAGCCTTCCAAAATCAAACCAGAAGCTTCTGAAGGCTACAAACGTTACTCAATGTTCATTGGATTTGGACCATTAACAGGTCAAAGAGAAATTGTGCATCTTATTGATTTTAAAATAAAGGGGTTTTATGTATTATTAGTACACTATGATTTAAAAAAGGTTCAAATGCATGAGATTAAAGCAGATAGGTGCATCTAAACTTGTGACCAGCGCTGTATGGGTAAGATGTGAGTGTTTCAGCCAGTAGATTCTAGATCAGGCCAGTCTTGAGGTCCGAGGCGCCGCGTGAGGAGCGTCCAAGCAGCAGTTCCTTCTCCTGGATCAGGGAATCAAGCAGGTCCTCCTGTCTGTAGTTATGGTAGACCTTCAGGAAGGCTAACACTGTGATCCCAAGCCAGGTGAGCCAGCCAGCCCAAAGGCCAAACTAAAATAGAGACATCCTCATTTTATGACCGGATTTTGAATAATCATTAAGCTGTTTGGCTGAGCTTCAGTATGAAACCAGATTCCTTACCTGAGCTATTGCAAACTGATCATAGAAAGCGGAATTATCAAGGCCCAGTTCTAGATCCATGTCCTGCAGCTCCTCACAGCTAAAAAGATTGACCAGACATTAAAGTAGACTGTATGAGGCATCGGCCTGAAAGCCGCTGATTGTGTGCTCATACGTCACCTGTTAGGCATCTTCCCGCTTTCAGTGATGGAGTCGCACCACAGGTTGAAACCCACACTGACAATGGTGCTGGACAGGAAGACTGTGAACATCAACAGGGAGCTGATCATCAGGTTGAGGAAGGCATTGAAAAATGAGCTGCAGGGAGAAAGAAAAAGAATTGAAGATGTTTCTAAACTCGTTCTGAAGCTTAAATACAGGAGCTTGTTCAATTAAAATTAATTAAAAAAAAAATATATATATATATATATATAAAATATATATATATAATTTTTTTTTTTTTTTTTTTTTTTTTATATATATATGTTTTTATATATATATATCCTTTGTCAAAAAAAACTTTTTTATCTTAGTTTTTCAATTAATTCTATGGCCAAAACATTTAAGGGAAATATGCTGTTTTAACAGGGGTCAAGCTGACAGCCATTGACATAAGAACCACAAAAGTAATTGCTAAATAAACTGAACGCTGTGTCAAACTATAGCAATGATGGAAAGGCATGAGAAGGAAAAGATGTATTGGCAGCAGGGTTCATGACAGTTTTAACAGGATGCATAGCCAAAAAATAAAACATAAAATTCCCAAACTGAGTGTGGCTGGAGCGAGTGCACTCATAGCACTGAGTTTTAATACACTTTTTCTGGTTTATCCCAGCAGACTCTTAAAAAAGGGTTGACCAACAAATGAATATTGGCTTAATTTGTTGCCTGTTCACTTTTTTTTTTCTTTTTTTTTTACACACTTTTTCCTTCCACTAAACTTTTCAAGACATCAAAGTAATAAAACCTGATAAGATACAGCCTTGATAACACTGTGTCTTTCAGTTAGAAGACTTTTATAGCTGATGTGTCATTTTAAAAACGTAAACTTTTTTCTTTTTTATATATATTTTGAAGAGGTGCAGCATCTTTCTGCAGTTTCCAGGAAAGATAACTACATGGTGTACAGGTAGATGTATTTTCAAATTATGACATAAACGTTTTCAGATATTTCTGCAGGCTACATAGATTTAGGTTTTATGGAAACTCGTGAGGCGCTTCTAAAGGTGATTATGCAACATCACTCACTCGTCGTGTCCTTTGCACAGAAAGAACAGCAGCCTCCACGCCTGCACTGCGGACAGGATGAGGGATGCAATCCCGACAAATGTGACGAAGCTGCAGGAGCACTCTGGTCCCCACTCATCCACGATGAAGCGCTGTTTAGACACGGTGATGTTCTCGTTTTGCCACATTCCACGCGTGAAAAGCAGGCATTTCCCACCGAAGTCCTCCGTGTTCTCGGACAGCGGCACAACGGCGATGAAGCCGAACACAAAGGCCAGGAAATAGAGGATGCACTGAGCGAAGATCAGGTTGTCCAGGGCCATCTTGGCGGCTCTGCCTGCTGCCTCCCGGAGAAAGTGCGGCTGCGCAGTGGAGACAGAGGCGCAGCATCCGAGGATGCGCCGTGACGCAAATGCATGAGTGAAGTGAGGCCTTCAGGGCTCTCCATCTTCTCTCCATCCAGACCGTGGAGATGGACTCCTCCACAGCTGATCACATCCCAGACATCTGAGGAGGATTCCACTGACAGCAGGGGCGCTGTAAGGGTGGGGGGGGGGGGGATTAGGCAGATTCTAAGGGCCCTTGACTGAGGGGGGCCCCCAAAAAGAACATACATTATATTCTATTCTATCATATTATAATATCAGTGGTGTCAAAAGTAATCACATTTGTTACTTAAGTAGAAGTATAGATGCTGAAGTAAAAAAAAAAAATCTGGTAAAAGTTACTTCTACTCAAGTAAAAGTAAAAAAGTATGAGCTCCAAAAACTACTTAAAGTATAAAAGTATAAAGTAACCTTTAAAAAAAACAGCCAGATGCTGCTATATAAAATGAAAGCTCGATTTTTCGACTATTTCGAAAATAAAATTATTTGAGATAGGACCAAGGATGAGGGACGTCTTGTTGGTCTCCATCTCTTGAAATTCTCTCGCCTGTGTCTGACCTTTCAGACATTTCAACATCTTTTTCTGAATCTGACATCATAGCATGGCATAGACAATTAGCGTTTGCAGTTTGAAGAACACCTGCTTGCTTCTGATGATTTCCTTTAGCTAACCAATGAGTGTTTGTGTTATGTGACTCATCCAATTACACTAGTTTTCACTAGATGTGGATGGCGCCAATGATCTGCATTGTATGGCACAATGACATGAAATAAATATTTATAGAAATTAAACCAAAGCCAAGAATAACGAGTAAAGTTTGTTTTAAAAATGTAAGGAATAAAAAGTACAGATACTTGTGTGAAAATGTAATGAGTAGAAGTCAGAAGTAGGAAGAAAAATAATGGAGTAAAGTAAAGACACCTAAGGACAGTAACGAGGTGCAAATACTTTGTTACTTGACACCACTGTATATTCTACCAATTTATACCATTAAAAGACATCTATAAATCTTGATCATTCTCATGAGCAGCCTAAAGCATCCACATCACAAATATATGTTTTTATTAATTACACATATACAGGAATGAAAAATTAGTTCCCATGCCCAGTATCAAAATAACCTGTCCTTCAATAAGGGTATAGTGAAACCTTATAGCTATATTTAACTTGTCCACATTATGATACATTTCCTTTGTAGAAATTTTACAGTAAAAGTTACATTAACAATGTAAATGATACTCTTTAGTGCATCTTTATAGCAGTTTTAGAGCTTGCATCCTTTTTTTTTGTGTGTGTGGGGTAATATCAATGTCTATCATTAGGCCCCAAATTCCTGGTGGTCCCCCGACTGAGGGTGTAAAACGGCAGTTTTTTGCTATTATTGTTTTATTTTATAGTACCCAACAGAAGTTAAAAATTGCTTTAAAAGATAGGCTAAAAAATATATTTCTTTTCTTAAAATGTTACAAGTTAATAAAGAAATACCATATTGGTCTGTCTCAGTCATTCTGTCCTTGGGTAACATCACTGATGGTGGCGCCTGTAAAGGGCAGCCTGGCCTCTCTCAGTGTGCCCCAATGCAGCTGTGGCTAGTGTAGCTTACCACCACAAGTATGTGAATGTGTGCGTGAATGAGTGAATGCTGTGTTAGAACTTTGGAGTCCCCTAACTTGAAAAGGTAAGCACCGGCAATATTTAGCATTCCTTATGAAGTTGCAGTTTTGATGTTCCTGCTACTAATGCTTTGTACTATAAGAACTTTATGTAATTTATTTTTTCTTTTGTTTTTTGAGCTTTTTACAGGATAGACCCTTCTGCATCAGATTTCTTCAGGTCATCAGTCCATATCCCCACTCAGGTTTAGTGCTAAAGCATCTAGTTCACATGCTATTTATCACATTGGCCTTTCAGTTTCTTTTACTCCTTGCAGGATTATAGTGTTGCCGGCTCTATAGTGCTCTGTCTGCCATCTTTCCTTTATTATCCAGCCTCCGTGTTTCATACATGTTCTTTTTTTATAATGCCCTGCCACATGTGGTTCCTATAAATACACCAGAAATGCTACATGATTATATATAATAACTATACGTTTCGTCCTAAAACAACATTTTAATATACATTTGAATTTTTACGAGGGGTGTCGTCAGATTTATTATCTTAAAAATAATAACTAGAACACATAGAAAAAAATCAGGTTCTGTTGGGAGAGCTACCGGTCATCAGAGTTATTCTTTGATGCTCAATGACACATTGTCCAATGCATACTTACAAATAAGAGTAATGACCTGTTTACACATGGTGACAGTCTTTGGGGAAGGGCAGGTAGCTGCCTGTCGCAGCCATCTTACATGCTCCAATGAGCCCATCTGCTAAGCTGACCAAGGTGTCTTTGTCCCCTCAGTTTAACATTTACTGCTCACAGCGCCCTACAGTGGGCCAAAACCCAGCTGCTATTTTTAAAACTTCTTACTATAACCAGCTTTATTGTAAAGATATTTCCTGCAGAATGTCAAAAAATATATATTTCTATAAAAGACACCTTTATTTCTTTTTTAAACAACAAAATAAGGGGGGAAAAATATAGTTATTTTGTTGTTTAAAAAAAGGAAAGCCATTTTGAAGAATTTGCTGTGAAGGGGCACAACCAGCTCATTTTCATCATAAGGGCTTCCATGGTTTCATTTTACCTCTGGATGTGATAGTATTCCTGCAGTTTGTTTTACAATATTCAATAGGACATAAATACAAGCATTTATATGGGCGCTTTGGCGATAACAGGAGGCTATTTGTATCCATCATACAAACTGCAGTATTTTGCATTATCTGCCTGGTGTGTGATTTAGGTCTGGTGTCATTTTGCCGCAGCTCTGCAGTCTGATTTCCATGATGTTATCAGCTTGCAGATTAGCTTGAGTTATGTTTGTGTGTGAGAGGTTTTGGCCTGAGAGTTAATTTGATTCCAAAGCACTGAGAAGCTTTCAACATCACTTACTGTGGTATTGTTATGGCAAAATAATGGTATTGTTATTGTTATGTCTCCTAAAACAAAATCCCAGTACATTTTAAACTTATCAAGACCCTTAAACAGAGACTGGTGCATCCTTAAGACAAACCCCCAGACCAAAAATGAACAGAGTGGTGTATGCAGTTCAATGCAGTGAGGAATGCCTCTCCACAGACACATGGCCAAACACAGAAGAGCGACCTCCTCGGGACAAGACTCCTCGGTACATCTACACTTTATGGACAAAGGACATTCTTTTGAGGACCAAAATATTCACATTTTGGACAAAGAACAGAGGTGGTTTGAGATGGGTGTGAAGGAAACCATCTATGTTAAGAAAGAAAAAACAACCTTGAACAAAAGGGGTTCACTCAGCTTCCATCTTTTTAAAAAACCTATAATTCAGCGATTGAGTTGATTCCTTCCCTCTATCATCGCTACCCCCAACCCCACACAGGGGAACTGAACAACTTGCATGTTCAGCTAGGCCAACAGTTCCCTTTAACGACCCCCCTTTCAGAGACACAGACAGGTATCGGGTATTACAGGTTAACAAAGACACCAAATGACCCTTATTCCAAAGGGGAGGACCCGTTCGCCGGGTTCAACTTGCATGTTTTCTAAGCCACTCGAACTCAACCCTATTTCTCACATTTTGGATTGAAAAAGCTTCCTGGATGGGAAGTGAAACGTCTTCAAACTTGGATACAAAGTCCAGTGGATTTTTGTTGTTCTTTTACTTTTATTGGAATGACTATGACCTGAATGACAGAGAGTCTCACCAACCTATTGTTATGGCCTTTTGAAGTTTTCTATATGAGTATGTATCAGAAACTCATGTTGTTGATTTTCCTTTTAAGCAGAAAATAGTTACAAAAACTTTACACCATCATTGTATGTATCTACTCACAAAAAGACTCTCTAGATTTAAATTTCATCAAAATAAAATCTTAGTGTTTTTACATTTTAGCAACTTTGCTGACTAAGGTTTTGTTTATTAGATGGCATCAATTTAACCATGGCTTTTTGCAGTGGGATGATTTTTTTTTATTTTTTTATTATAGAGTATGAAAAGAGATTTTAGCTATCAAGCGGTATTATGGCTTGAGTGATGTTCACCTTTAGTTTTTTTTTTTTTAACAAGATTCAGTATCTCTAGCTACAGGAGAGTTTTCAGTAAAAATTTGAGTGCACAATTTGCACTGGTTGATCACACCCTTGTAATTATCCCTACAGATATACGTCAAAATAGATGAGTTTGGAGACTATCAAAGAACTTTAGGTTATATCATCAAGGCTTGCCCTATAGAATATTGACCAGTTCTAAGACACATTTGCATTAAATGTTTTTTTTTTTGTATTTTCTTTTATTCTTCTTTGTTTTTGTGCAAATAATGCTTTTAAACCCAGTTTTTTTTCTTGATTCTTTGTATTTTGCATGATTATTTGGATTAATACACTCCCGTCTGTTCATGTTTGCTTGTTTTTTCTCAGTATAAATCTAAATTTATCATTCGTCTACCATTTCTGCATTGAAAGAGTAGATAAATAAACTTTATTTTAAGACAATCCAGCAAAATTACCCAAAAAAACACATTCAAGGATTATGTATAATTGCGTGCATAATTTATTGCTTATCTCATGAACAAAAACAACACATACATTTGTCAGTTATTAACAAATGTAAAAATTTAAATTTAGTACTATTAAGGTTGATGTTACTAGAAATCGTTCCTCAATGATTCTATAACATTTAATGAAAAAAACAATTTGGATTATCAAAAAAACAATCATAAAGTCTATGACATACATGTATGCAAAAATAAAAGCATTAAAAATAATAGAATTCATTATTTTGTTTAAGATTATTGCAGTTATGAAACAGATTGACCAATATTGTCCCTGATAAGAACGACCTAGAACAGCCTCTAGTCTGAGAAGTGCCACAGCAACTG